GGGCGGGGCGCGCCGCGCGCTTACGTCGCCCGCCCTGCCTCCCGCGCGCCAGGCGCTGGATCCTGTGGGCCTGGGGGCTTCCGGAAGAGGGGACGGGGTCCTCCCCTGCTCGTAGTCTTCTACATGGTCGTGCGGAAGCAAAGCTCCTGAATCCTCGTGAGCTATTGGAGGACGGGCGACACGAAACTAGAGTGCTGGTGGCTAGTTTCTGGACAAAGCACCTTGCAAGAACTGACATTCAAGAGCATCATTTGTTATTAGATAATGCCGTTTCAAGGAGGGACGTCCCCAAAACACACAGTCCTTTAGACACGTTAGCAAGTACTGTGCTCTGCTTGCCACGAATCGAAGTTGTCACAATCACAAAAAGGGCTCTAGATGAGCAAAATCAACAAGATTTGAGAAGGGTACAGTTGAGAGATAAGGAGCTCTGGTAGCGCAGTGGTTACAAATCGGGCTGCTAACCTCAAGGTCGGCAGTTCGAAACTACCAGCCGTTCCGCGGGAGAACGATGAGGCTTTCTGCTCGCGTAAAGATATACAGCCTCGGAGACCCTGTACAGGGTCGCTGAGTCGGCACCGACTCCACGGTACTTGGCACCGACTCCACGGTACTTGACAACAACATTTGAGAGATGGTCCCTGGTTATCACCCAATCTGCATATAATTGGCTCAAACCGAGAAGCATCGTTACAGTTTGCTTCCCCACGTTGTACTCACATTGCTCATCCTCCCAGAGTTGCAGGTTGTTGTTATTGTTATGTGCCGAGGAGTCGGTTCCGACTCATAGCGACCCTGTACAGGGCACAGATACGCTAAGCTACCAGAGCTCCTTCAGAGTTGCAGGATAAGGGGAACTAAAAGGCCATTATGCATTCACAGCAAAGAAATGGCTCTCATTGTTAATAGTATATGGAGAGGAAATAGCATGTTAATCGAGAGGAAAAGTTGGGTTTGTTTATCAAACTTAAGTTCCTCATTCTTTTAATGCCCTTATTTGGTTTGTGCCCTAAGATGCAAACCACCGATGGGTGCTGAGGCCACAAACTGGAAAGGTGGAAGATTCCACACCACCCCAGAGGTGCCTTGAAAGAAAATCCTGGCAATTGAATTCAGAAAACACTTGGGAGCTCTCTTCTCTGACACACATGGGGTCATCATGAGTGAAGATCAACCCGAGGGTAACTGGTACTGATTAAGAGTCAGTTACTGAAAGTGAGGGTTGGAGATGGGTATAGAGGGTTAGACCCTGACTCGCAGGACAATTCTGCCTGAGAGGAGAGAGCTGAGGAGATTTCATATGAGCCACAGCAGGCCTGGATCTAGGGTTTAAAGGCTGTGTTCAAGTTGGCTGTGTAAAGCTGAAGGGAAGGGCATTGTAGATGGCACATTTTCCAATGCCAAGTGTGATCACATAGTTGCTGTATCTTTTCTCTATATACTTTACGCCACTGAGAAAAACGATCAAAGAGATTGGCCCACTTAAAAAAATCATCAGCCACTGTTTTGTTCTGAGGCTGGGGCCAGGGCTCATAACCAAGGTATACCTTACCATCCTTTCACCATGTATTAAACTTTCTCAAGACAACTATCTTCTAAACTGTTTAGCCATAACCAAATGCTGTGCGTCAGTCACTGGGCTTGGGAACTTAGGTCCACATTCTTGGTAAACATCTAGGTCAATTGGCACGACAGAGTCTGCAAAGACAATGTTCTACGTCCTACTCTGGTGAGTAGCAACTGGGGTCTTTAAAGCTTGACTGGCCATATAAGGTGCAATTATTGGTCTCTCCTAGTCCAGAGCAAAGAAGAGTGAAGAAAAAGACTTAAGGAAGCAATGAGTCCAAAGGACTAATGGATCACACACACCACAAACTCCAAAACCCCAAGATCAGAAGAAATCGATGGTGCCCACCCAGGGGGGCTCCCCAATCTGATCAGAATCACAATACAAGGTCATGGACAAAGAAGGAGAACAAAAATGTACAACAAAACTTAAAAAGGATTAGACTTCCTGATAGAGACTGTGGAACACCACCCCACACCCTCAAGACTGTGGCTCATGGGTACCGTTCAAATCTAGAATTGAACTGTCCCCAGGGATCAACTTTCAGCCAAACAATAGACAGGCCTATAAAGTGATTAATCACACCAGGAAGGCATGTACATAACTCCTCATACAAATCAACCAGATCAGTGGTGGTGGTAGTTACACGTGCCAGAATATTACATGGAACTTCTGAGCTGTAAATCTTTACACGTGCCAGGATATTATATGGAACTTCTAAGCTGTAAATCTTTACAGGAGCAGAAAGCATTATGTTTCAGCTGGGAAACGTCTGGTAGATTCAAACAGCTGGCCTTGTGGTTAGCAGCCCAAAGTATAACCACCCATGAAGCAACCAGGGCTCCAAAAAGAGCAGTATTCATCCAAAAACAACACTCAGCAGGCAGAACCAGGCAAAAAAAGGGGGAATGGAAACAGGGAACCCAGGAAGGAAGTGCTGTTTCACTGGAAGGACTGCAATCAATGACACAAAATAAAATATGCATAAATGATTGAATGGAAAACTAATTTGCTTTATAAAATTTCTCACAAACTGCAATAAAAAACTCAAAAAAAAAAAAAAAGTACTATCTACTCAAGATCTCGGGGACAAATTGATATAACATGTCAATCATTTCTGCTGAGACAAACCTTCAGTGGGTCCAAGAACTCTCTTTGCAATGGCTGCTTTACAAAGAGCAATCTTGACCTCGCTTTCTGTGGAGGTTTGCCAGCTGATTCTATTTCCCCAAAATGTTATCACTTCCTTGTTTTGCTGCTATTGGGCATTTGAAAAAGCTCTTGTGTTTGCATCTCTTGTGTTGCTGTTATTAGGCACCATCAAGTCTGTTCCGACTCATAGTGCCCCTGTGCACAACAGAATGAAACACTGCCCAGTCCTGCACCATCCTCACAATTGTTGTTATGTGTGAGCCCATGGTTGCTGCCACTGTGTCAGTCCAACTTGTTGAAGATCTCCCTCTTTTTCGGTGACCCTCCACTTTACCAAGCATGATGTCCTTCTTCAGGAACTGGTCCCTTCTGAAAATATGTCCAAAGTACAAGAGACAACGTTTCACCAACCTCACTTCTAAGGAGTACTCTGGCTGTACTTATTCCAAGACAGATTTGCTTGTTCTTCAGACAGACCACAGCAGTACTTTCAATATTCTTCACCAACACCATAATTCAAATGCACGGGTCCTTCTCCTTCTCTGGTCTTCCTTATTCACTGTCCAACTTTCACATGCATCTGAAGCTACTGAAAATCCCATGGCTTGGGTCACTTGCACCTTAGTTTTCAAAGTAGCAGCTTTGTTCTTTAATACTTTAAAGAGGTCTTTAGCAGCAGATTTGCCAAAGGCAATACCATTTGATTTCTTGACTGATGCATCCAAGAGCAATATGGAATTTCATTTGCATCAGAGTAGCTATAAATCTGAAAAACTCCATATCATCAGTCAAAACAAGGCCAGGGGCAGACTGTGAAACAGACCATCAATTGCTTATAATGCAACTTCAGGCTCAAGATGAAGAAAATTGAAACAAGTCCTTGAGAACCAAAATATAACCTTGAGCATATCACACCTGAATTTAGAGACCATTTCAAAAACAGATTTGATGCATTAAATCCTAGTGACCAAAGACCAGAGGGATAATATCAAGATCATACAAGAAGCAAGAAGTCATTGAAAAGATAGGAAAGAAAGAAAAGACCAAAATAGATGTCAGAAAAGCCTCTGAAATTTGTGCTTCAGTCTTCTTCTTGTCTGCCACTGAGTTGGTTCCGACCCATAGCACCCCATATAGGATTTTCAAGGAGCTGCTGGTGAGTTTGAACCTCCAACCTTGTGGTTCAAACCGACTTTTCAGTCCAGCGCATTAACCCACAGTGCCACACCAGGACTCCATGCTCCAGTATAGAGATGCTAAAGTAAATTGAAGAAATTATGTCGTAAAAGAGCTGAACAGAAAATTTCAAAAGGTGGCAGGCGTGAAAAGACAAAGTATTATAATGAAATGTGCAAAGGCCTAGAGTTAGAAAACCAAAAGGGAATTTCTAAAGCTGAAAGAACTAAAGAAAAAAAATTCAAGCCTTGACTTGCAATACTGAAGAATTAACATGGACAAAATACTAAATGATGCCGAAAGCATTCAAAAGAAGATGGAAGGTATGTATACACAGAGTCACTGTACCAAAAAGAATTGGTGGATGCTCAACCATTTCAATAGGTAGCATATGATCAGGAACCAATGACAACAATGAAAAAAGTCCAAGCTGCCCTGAAGGCATCTGTGGGAAACAAGGCTGCAGGAATTGACAATACAAAGTGAAATCTTTTAACAAAGCCTCACTGATGGCACTCACTCATCTATGCCAAGAAATTTGGAAGACAGCTACGTGCTAACCGATTGTTAGAGATCCATATTTGTGCCCATTCCAAAGAGAGGTGACCCAACAGAAAGTGGAAATCATCGAACAATATAATTTATATCATGTGTAAGTAAAATTTTGCAGAAGATTATTCAAATATAGCTACAACTGTACAGCCACAGGGAACTGCTAGAAATTCAAGCCAGATTCCGAAGAGGATGTGAAACTAAGGATATCTGCTGGCGTCAGCTGGATCTTAGCTAAAAGCAGAGAATACCAAAAAGAAGTTTACTTGTGTCTTACTGAGTATGTAATGGCTTTCAACTGTGTGAATCATAACAAGCCTTGTATAACATTACAAAGAATAAGTGTTCCAGAACACTAAAATGTGCTCACAAGGAACTTGTATATAGACCAAGGAGAT